AAGATCGTAGTCCCTCGATGTTGCCTTCAGTAAAAAATCTAGTCTCTTACTAAAATTGCTAAAACGTCTCATAAGTTGCCTTCTATGACTATACAATTGACCCACACCCGTCCCTTCACATCCAACGATGAGGATTCTTACCAATCAATGGTAAGATAGCAACATCTAAAGAAGGAGAAAAAGAACATAGACCTTTTGAATATATAGGACGCTTGTAGTTGCTTGCTCGCAAACTAAAACCATTTCCACACTTACACTTTTAAAACATCTTTAAAAATAAACATCTCTTTGAACTATTTTCAAAACCAACACTTTGTATGCATTCTTATAGAGACGAGAATCATTACAAAGTTTGCTGCAACAAAGGCATTTTGTAAAATATTTTCAAACTTACACCACAAAGCACATTTTCAAACAAATAAAAAATGATCTAGCAAGCAACTAAGAGCCCGTAGATAACTACGGATTAAAAAGGTGTTGATACCTTCCCTTTTCATAACCTACCCCTCCCCCCCCCCCCCCCCCCCCCGGAACTCAAGAAAACATCTCTAAAGGTTTTTCCTGTACTTTTCACCCTTTCCTTATTGGATAAAAGAAAAGTCGATGGCGACTCTTGTTATCTGCAACAATTGCAATCAAACGTAAAACAACCAAGTCAGTTCTTCCACTGTATTACACATCCACTCTTATGTCTTTGGAAACTACATTATCATCACCCCAGAATCTATTGTAGTTGCTATTTGATGTGCCCAAGTTAGAGTTACCGTAGAAGCCTTCCAAAATAGATACTCTTTTGCTGATAGACTCTGCTCTATTCATAATATCTCTGATGAATATGGACACATCAATCTTGCCAATCTTCTTCCAGCTGCTTCAGTTTGGTTTCAGTTTGTGTTGAAAAACTTTAGACCGAGAGGATCAATGTTGAACACCCTAACCTATGATGATAGTGTTTTCATCTACTTCCTCATCCATCATATTAGAATCAACTTACCTCAATCCATTTTTAACTACCTAAGAGACTCAATCCTTAGTTCCAGATCTAGGCACCAGGTCTTTATACCTTTTGCAAGAGTTATCTTTGTTCTCTTCACCAGAGATAGGATTATTTGAGCCATTCATCGCAATGGACTTGAGGATGTTCTTGAGGATTTTCGATGTGAAGTTCTCAAAGCTTAGTTTTTTAGGGGTTGTTTCTACTTGTTGTGTGTCTGTCTGCTTTGTTTTAACATTGTTGTGTCGTACTTGTTATTCCCTGTTAAATTAATAAAATGTTTTGTTTTGTTATGATTTGATTGGATTTAAGAATGCTATCTCAATATTTTCATTTCCTTAAAGTCTTAGCAAACAATTCTTTTAAACCCTATGTTTCAAGACAGAATTTAAAACTTGAATATTATCCAAACAATTCTCTGGTTTGAATATGTTACCTTCAAAGTTCATTTCTCTGTCTCTTTATCACCTTTTTGATTTCTGACAAAGGGGGAGAAAGTAAAATGATTTTGATAATACTTATTCTCAAAATCTCAAACTCAAACATATAAAATGTTGTTGCTACTAACTGTTTGTTTGATGTTTTATTCCAGGAAGTTTGAATAAGTTCACTGAGTATTCTAAGATAGGTTAAATATAAAGATCCAGATGCTAAGGTTGAGAACCTTATGGATGAAATTAATTCTGATTTCATATATCAGAAGTTGTGAACTTTCTGAAAGTATGGATTTCAGACTTAAAGCTTCAGAAGATGTGCTCTCCTGAAAGGAAGTCAAGTCAACATTCTAATGTACGCTCTAAGACACTACTCAAAAGATGTGCTCTGATATGTGTGCTTTTGCAAAGTATGTGTGCTTCGACAATGTATGCTCTATTCAGAAGTTATGAACTGTCTGAATGAATGATATATTGGAATATATCAAATCAAGCGTTGATGCTTAAGAAGTAGTGAACTTCTCCAGAAGTATAGTGTTTTGGTTAAGATATTAGAATCAAGAAATAGAAGTGTTAATACATAATGCGTGGCATTATTCAATCAGGCTCAAAATCAAGTTTTGATTCTTCATCAAGTTCTGATAGTAACCAGGTTCTGAGATGAAGACTAGATGTTCTAGTCAGACTCTGATGAGTTATTGTAGGGAAGTGTTCCTTCTCTATTTCTATGTTCTGAAAACTCAAAATTTATTTTGTGAGTCTTGGGCTAAGGGGGGAGACTCTGAACGAACATAAATGAAATTTTGGGATTAACATATTCAGGGGGAGTTGTGAGCTTAATTCTGAATTTTTTGGTTACAGTGATTACCCTTATAAATTGTTCTATCAAAATACAAAGTTTTGTCATTATCAAAAAGGGAGAGATTATAAGAATAAGAAGTGTTTCTACATCCGGACTTAAGATTTTGATGATAACTTTACATGATATCATTATGAATAATTGAATACTCTAATGATTTCATTCTAGTGTGTAACTGCTGTTATAATGTTCTAGATCTGTTATCAAAGTGTGTGACGACATCGGGTTTTGAACAAACGCTACTAGATGAAAACATGTGGTTACGTGTTACTTTTGAAGTAAAGATTCTAGAATTCATCTTATGCAATGGTTTCTAGGAACGTTAGTACAAGAGATTCTGATCGTGACTTTATGGATAAGCTTTGGAGGCCTTCTAAATCTTTGCTTATGTGTGTTACAAGTTCTAAAGATTATGAAGATGAAATTTTGCTAGACAAGTTCTGTTGATCTGAAGAAAAGCAAGTTCTTACAACCAAGTGCAAAAGGCTATGAAGAAGGGATTCTGATAGGACAAGTTTTGAAGACTTCAAGACTTATTTTCTAAGACTTAAGAGTGATTCTTCTACAACAAGATTCAAACATTCAAATTATCTAAAGCCTCTGAAGATAAGAAGAAGTTCTAATTGGTAAATGTGTGATGGTATACAAAAGGTACAAAAAGTGCTCTGGGACCTCTACCCTTCTATTATTGTCATGTGATTATTGACATCAATAACATGCTCCTGTGGATCAGTTTTACCGTCGTAAGATGTGAGCGACCGTGACTTGAAGTTCTCAGAGACTTGAACGTCCCTATAGCTTGAGAAAGCGACCGAGATTCCAGAAACTCCTCTTCTGGGTGTTCATCTCCTATACTTCTCTGCTGCAGGTTTGTGACACTATCCTACCCATGGCCAGTAGTTGTGCCATATCTGGGGGATCTTCGTCAGTTGACATTCTATCGAATGTGATTTGAGGGATAACCTAGGATAGTTTTACCGAAGCCCAGGACCGGCCTAACCCATTTGGAAGCCTAAAGAAAATTTTAAAATGAGACCCTAAATGTATTTTAAAATAATAATTTTGTGGTTGCTAAGAGTTGAACTCAAAATCAAAAAGATAAAGTCCTAAATTTTACCAACTCAACTATGACAATTCATGTGTCTAATGTGTCACTATATATTATTATAATTAAATAAAAAATAATTTGAGGCCTTTTTAAGCCCAAACTTTGAAGCCTTTTTAAACCCAAACTTTGAGGCCTTAAAACCCTAGCCTAGGTGGCTTGGCTCCATGGTAGGCGCCAAATAATCTTGCTTAGGAACAATAAATGAGTAGCTTCCCTATAGATATAGGAAGAGTCGCAAGAGATAGATTTCTGTAGGTTATTTGGGAGATTTGTGAGCTACGACAGTGTTGCGTTGTCTCAAGATAAATGTCTTGTTTATCCCTCTTGTGAAAGCCCATTTTATAGTCTTCCTTTTAACATAATTTAATAGCATCAATCAAAGTGTGACCCATGGGCTTCGTAACTGTGTAACAACTGCCATCACCATGAATGAAGGTGTTCAAAGTCATATAACGTTGGATTTAATGCGCTGACGACCATTATAGTCATTAATGAGCCAGATTGTTGATCGGCTATGGATAGGTGGATTCTGATTACGAGTGTCATCCGAGTTGATGGCGCATATGAATTACTACCCGAAGGTAATGAAGATCGTTCAGTACCTTTAGCCAAGTTGCACTTCCTTCTGGATAACTATGGGCCGATCACTAGTCTTTTTCTCTTTTTAGACGACTTCATAGCTTAGTCGGGATTAATATTTCAGGCACGTGCAACATTAAGTATTTTCATTTTCTATTTTTCTTTATGGGTATGTGCCCAAACTTCGTCCAAATATCGTGTCCATGTAAGCTTTTCTCTAAATCTACTAGTACTATTTCTATTGAGTTCTTCAAAATGTGTCCATACTGCAGAAAGTATCATTACTATTTTAAATAAAACAGGATACAGCTACAAATCACTGGACTGGTAATCATAATATGCAACTTATAATAAAGACAAAGTTCTGCGAAGGAATCTTAATTACCACCTTAGTAAAAAATAAATGTACTGACATGAATCATTATGCATATTAAAAACTGCATGAGGCAAAAATTGTAAGGTTTAAAGTAAAATAAAAGGAAAACATGATATACATACAACATACGAAAGATATCAACTACAATACAGAACAAGACTGCAAAAAATTAACAAATGGGCCCATATATAGCCCAACATTTGAGATTATTATTCAGTAACTTTGAACAAGAAATTACCAGGCTATTTTCCAGTGCCTTGCCAATATTTCAAAGCGAAATTACAACAACCTGCTTAGAGAATTTATCATTCTTCATCAATAAATCAACAATTTACAAATACGAATCCTGAAGATGAGAGCTACTAAGAGACAAAATAAAAGAAAATAGGGGAAAGGGATTATACAAAAACAATGAGAAGTATGTGGTGTTGTCATCCTTGAATGGCAAACATAAATAAAACCTTCCAACTACATTTTGTTGTTTTGTTGCTTTGCCAAAGCCTTCCTCTTATAGCTTGTACAAGAGCTATATAATCAATAGATCAACCGACTTTCAGAGTTGACAAGCAACTATAAAATAATGTATTACTTAATAATACATGATGAGTGACAGCGAAGAATTTCCTAATTCTCCAATTATCTCTCACACATTAGCAAGCCTTTCTCTTGTCAACTCTTAAGTGGAGATTATACCATTTTTTCTTCCTTGGTCGTTCTCTTGTACTCCTCTTTTCTCTTGCTTCACCATCTTCTTTTGACTCCTTTGAAGATGTTCTACTTCTGCCCTTGCTGCTACCACTCCGTTTTAAAGGAACAACCGTGTACGAGGCATGTATTTCATTTCTCTGTTTCAATAGTTCGTCAATCTGCAGAGAGAATCAATAAATAGTTTAACTTCAGTTGCTTCCATCTGATTTGTTTTTTCTAAGGGAGCTAGCTGCAAAGAAACCACTAGTGTAGAAAAACTCACCGTTTGCATTTCATGTGCATATCTGCTTGTCATTTCTGTGAATTGTGCAAGAACCTACAAAAATCCAAAATTAGGTTTGAACAAATGATATAACAAATAGATGCATACAGCCTGCAATTGCGCATACCTCTCGATATTCTGACTCAAACTTTGATATTTCTGCTCTTTTAGACAAAATTTGAGCTTCTACATTTCTTAAATTTTCTTTTTCTTCATTAAAAGGTGCAGCACACAGGACTTCTATTGTATAGTTTGCACTTTTGAAAAAGTTGTCGCCTACAAGATATTTGACAGCGTGTAATGGTTAATTACTGTAGAGCATAATTACAGTTAACAAATATAACAAACATGACTGGGCAGAAAAGTATGTGTTACCATAAACCGCAAATGTATGGGTACCAGCCTTCAATTCAGTTAATTCACAGGGCTGGAACCCATCAAGCTTTTTGAAGAATGAAGTATCTGGATCCTTGGCAGCAGCTATCTGTAGAAAATAATTGAGCCAAATTTAAAATTTGAAATGACGGATGAATTTGAAGTGAAAAATTTCAAATTGCAGTAGCAACTCACGGAGTTCATTGTTTGATCTAGCCGATAAACAGGAAAGCCAAGAAAATACATTCCAGCAGAAGTAAACTTTCCATTTTTTGCACTGTCTTCCTATATCAGTAACTATTAACGTCAGAGCATGTTCAAAAGATGCAAAATAATGCATGTATTAAATGGCTACAAGTGTGTGTGGGTGGGTGTGTTAAAGAGTTACAAGAGATCCACTAACATTCAAGGACTGTAGATTACATCAGACATAATTCCCTAGGATAAAGAAAAACACATTATGTTCGTACAATCAGGAGAAAATGTTTTATACCTGGAGCGCAAGACTAAAGCCACCGTTGTCTTCCTGGTCGAAATATAATAACTGTGGAATGATAGTTTAATCAATGACATGATCAATATACTGATAAAATCAAAAAGCTTCAAAATTGGAAATTGTTGAGATCATATATTTCATAAATTACTGCGAAATTAACCAGTCACCATAGAGCAAGAAAGAAAATTATTAAGATTGACCGGTTAAGCATAACTAGCATTCAATCTTTAATACATCAACATCATCATCATCAACAACAACATCAACAACAACCAAGCCTTATCCCACTAAGTGGGGTTGGCTACGTGAATCAAACTCCGCCATAATGTTCTATCCAAGATCATGTTCCTATCCAATTTGCAGTATTCTTTAATACATAATAGCAAAAAATTAAAGTTGAACCTTGAACTTGCTTTTGTCTGATGATTGTACTCGACAAACAAATCCAGCTCTTGCTTCCTCTTCTGTTATTGTAACTGAATAAAAATGTGCACACTGCTTCTCAACCTGAGATGAAAGCACCAAAGCATAATTAAAAAGTATTATGACTGTAAAGAGATCAATCAAATGGAAAATAGTACTAACCCTTTTAGATATGAACTCTCCCAATGGAAGTGGGCGAATTGTAACTAACCCATTGAGTGCCTCTTCCAAAACAGTCGCAGATACAGTTGTCTTGATTGGTACCCCAAGTTTGCTGTTATATGAGGCGAAAGTTAACGATACAGGGAGTGGAAAACCAAAGAAGGGAAGAATTTGAAGAAAAAAAATCTCCACGAAGTCAAGAAAAAAGGGTGAAGATGAAAATAAGAAGAGAAGCAAATGAAGCCTTCTTACCTAAAAAGTGCAGCAAACATCGTGTTGACAGCACCCAAACTTGAAAGATCCAACTCTAACTCTTGGTTATCTGACTCAACGGCCTACAAGCAAGCATGAAATATTTCAACACTAGTAACCTAATTGAATAGATTTGGTATACATGGAGGATTGATGACCCTCCAAAAGTCTAAACAGTTCAAAACATTAACTTATATCACCTCAAATCCAGATGAGTCGTACTGACGCCGTTTCTCAGGATCCGCCAAGATATTATAAGAAAAGGTAGCCTCTTTGAACATATCAGCTGCTTTGGGATCATTAGCATTCTTGTCTGGATGAAACCTGAAATTGAACAATTTTAGCCAATCAATATAATAACCAACCATGCTCAGATCAAAAGATGAGAGTAAGAACAGTAAATTAGAGTAACCCAGGTGCACCTCAAATGGAAGTGCATTAATTTATTTAGTAAAACTCCATTGAGAAATTAATGTTTATTGTATATTTATTTATTTAATTTAATCTTCATTAGAATTCCAGTAATTTATTTAGTAAGACTCCATTAAGGCAACATACTACCCTTCTTACTTTATACTCACAGCCTCTTCTCCTTTGTTTCTTTGGATTAATTTGATATGTATCATCTTAATTTGATCCTGAGACCCAAAAAAGACCTATGATTTATCTTCTGCCAAAAATAAACTAGAACTCTATACACAAAGACAGATGAACTAATCAGCATTCAATACTCATCAGCATTAAACTCGTCCAATTCAGATGAACTATAATATTAAGCATTTAAAAAATCAGTCAACTCCTAGCCAGAATATAGTAGTTAATGAGCTTCAGTTCATGAATCATCTATATTAAAATTTCATAAAATTGGAATCCATCTAGCTAACCAAACTCCAGGTTAGTTCTGGCTCGAGAACTCAGAAAACTTACCCACTGATACATAAAATGGGGGAAATCATAAAAATGCAAGAACACTCTCAGGGATCATGACTTCGCCTAGGATAAACAAGCAAAGGAAAAGATTTGCAAAGAGACTGTACAGCTGTGTTAAAATAATAGTTTTCACCTATGTAACACAGTCACTTCGGATTGAAGGTGTGTCCGGTGTTCAACACTCATATGACAATGACACGTATTATCTTCAACCCCTTATATTTTTTTCTTAAGTAATTATCCGTGTTCATGAGTCAGTGTCGTGTCCAGTCTCTGTGCCTTTACTACATAGGCCTTGATCAAGTGGAAGCAGCGTAGTCTTCCTACAGTGCTATTTTTCTCTCAAGTTATGTCTTTCCCAAAGAATTTCAACCAAATACACTCATTATAGCATCATCATCAGTTAAAAGGAAGAATAAACAATTTTTCAAACACAAACATTCTCAAAAAAAAACAAAACTCAACCCAAAACATATGACAACTGAGACTATACACTATATTCACTCTTCATCAATTTCAAACAAAACCCTTAGTACTGTGTCTGTTCCACTTCCACCTACCAAAATCATAATCATCATTAACCATAACACAGTGAATTGAAATCACATATTTATAAATGAACATTGATAATAACACAGTGAATTGAAATCACATATTTATAAATGAACATTGATAATAAAACCGCTAATATCCAAAGAAACCCCAAACTCAATTCAAAATTCGAAAACAAAAACAAAATCAACAGCAACAAGGTCAAAGAATAATACTTGAGAGCCATTTTCCGGTAAGCCGATTTAATCTCCTGATCGGTGGAGTTCCGATTAACGCCAAGGACTTCATACGGGTCACGCCGGAGCTGCTTCTCGTCGTCATCTTTCTTCTCCGACTTCGACCGACGTCCCGGCATCCTAAACCGACGTCGTATTCCCCTTTCTTTCCTCAGTACAAAACCCTAAAATTCCTCTTCACTAATAACAAGAATCAGAATCAAAACCTCACCGAAAGAACTTATCAAAGAAAAGAATGTTTTACTTTGTGTCAAAGTTGAGGGAGAAAGTTGAAATTGCGACGGTGAGATCCAGAAACTCCACCGTGGAGTGGTGGACCCTTCCGAGCTGGAAATTAGTTTCAGAGAGGAGGAGAGAGAAAGAAGAGAGAGAAAGAGAGAGAGTAGAAGAGACAACAGAACGATAGAATAGAACAGAGAGAAATTTTTTATTTGAATATGAATACTTTTTTTTAATTTTATTCTTTTTTTTTTTCGAATGTTAGTTTGAAAACGAACTATGATGAACTTAAAGAAGGCCTGGTGCGCACTGCGCACTGTGAGGTTGGAAATTCGGTTTCAACTTGATAGTAATATTTGAGAATTGAGATGATGACATTAATGTTAATACATCTGTATTAAATTTAGTAAACACTTTTTAATTAGTGGATAATTATTTTCTTACGTAATTAAGGGTAATTGGTTTTAAGAAAATCTGATTCTGTCGTAATTGACTTTTTCTTCTTAAAAATGCTACTTTGACACAAATTTTAATACAAAAACACTATGATTATTGATTCTCTCAATTTTTTTCTTTTATTCTTTTTTATTTTCACATCTATCATTTTTTATAACTCAAGGGTTAAGATCATTCACAATATTTTCTCTTTTTTCTCACAAGAGAGTATTCTAATCCTATTCCCAAACGGTATATATAGTTAATTAATTTAAATATATGATTAATTAATTTTAATAAATATTAGTGTTTAATGATTATGAACTGAAAGTATAAAAAAAATTTACACTGTCATTTAATAAAGTTATATCATTTTGTCATATTATATAACTTTTAAAAAAAATTCAATCTGATTTGTCAGGATACATAATCGTCATTAGTTGATAGTGTAAAATTAATTTACACTTTCAGTACATCATATATTTTCTCTAAATATTATTTCTCAACAAAAATATTAATGAGTATTTTATATATTAAATACAATGTTTTTACACGTAATATTGTTTCTTTCACTTTATTATTAACACGTTTTAAATATGTGAATAATTATATTAAATAAATATTTTTTATTAATAGCTATTAATTTATAAATATTAATTTATTTTTATTTTTATTTTTTTACTAAAAATAAATAATATTCATTCATTCAAATTGATAGAGTATATTGTTGCAATACAAATTCAAAATCGTCAAAAATAAAAAGAATGAATCTCTGAACAAACTCATTGCATCTAGGGGTGGCAAAGGACATGTCCGTCCCGTTTAGGCCCGTCCCGAAAAAACCCGCAAAAAAATAGGGCGGGACGGGGCGGGCATAGTTGAGGATGAGGGCCTAAAACCTAGGTCCGCCTCGCAAAAAAGTGAGTGCGGGTCGGGGAAAGCCCGTGGGCACTGCACCTTTTAAGCCTAAAAATGTAAAATTTTATGCTAATAATCATGTCCGCAAAAGCCAGGGAAGAAAACGAGGCGGGATGGGACGGTCACATTAGAGGGTGAGGGCCTAAATTCTTAGCCCACCCCGCACTAAAGTGCCGGTAAATCGGGCATGCCCAACGGACGGGGCCCGTTTTGCCACCCCTAACTACATTCATGTTAATAGCATAAAACGGTAAATCATATAAGCCTGCAAATATGACTGTATAGAAATATCTGAAATATTCATGCCTCCGGATATGTAGCATTAATGACAATAAAGTCATAGATTGAATTTGTACTATATCGAAACTAATCTTTTCAACCTGAAATAAATGAACACCATACAAAGATGGAAAAACAAAATACATTGTACAAAGATGGAAAAACAAAATACACCGCACAAAGATGAGAGATCAAAATACACTGCACAAAGACGAAAAATCAAAATAAACAACGGCTAGCTAAAATGACGAAATTACAAAAAAAAAATACTAAATATATGTGAAAACTACTTATTTAACTAATACAAAAACAAATCGTTTTAGAAGGGTGATTTTGAATCAAAATCGATCATAAATCACCCCTCTCTAGACGATAAATAACGATAAATAAGAAGAAGAAAATTGACGAAAGCTAGGTTGATAAAGAAGGAGAAGACAAGAGTTGATTAATTTTTTTTGGGTATTAGTCAGGGGTATCCTCTGTGCGCAACTGTAGAGACTAATCCCTCGAATCTTGTAGGACCATATAAGCAGGTCAGCTCTCCTTCAAGAATTGATTAACTTGTTTATATTAAAATACAAATAAATGTGTTTAGAACGAATTAAACTCTGAACTAATAAATTATATTTATTTATTTCAATAGTGTATTTATATAATAATTATTGTATATTAGTTGAGCAAATTCATTCGTCCAATAACTAACTAATGAGTTTATACATACAAAATATATTTATGAAGGTATTTATTATTTAAATATGATATGTCATTAAAGAACAATTTTAATATATTATTTATATTGTATTTATATTAATTTTAAAAAATTAATTCTAATCTATAATATAAGAAAAGTCATTCTATCCAAAAATCATGTTTTGTCCTTTTGTTCCAAAAACACAACACGTGGCTTCTTCATGGCACAACATCTTTTGTTCCAAAAAAATTTATTCTTTTCTTTCTCCACTTTCAATTCAGTGAACGGTTTCTCAAAAATTGTTAATATTCCATCTTCCAAAACCGTATCTTCACCATCTCCACAATCCTCACTTCCACTCTCTCATATTTTTCGTTCTCCCTCACACATCAGTATTCCCATGTTCATCAGCGGTTACAATTAGCAATTGTGGTTTCAAGAAACATTTCATTTCCCTCTCTGTGTAGAAACCCTAAAACCCCTTTCTTAGACTGAATTGAACTGAGAAGAAACCATAGAGAAGCGAAATGGGTCAGAAACAAAAGCATGTTTTGGAATCGAGTCCGGATAGTGAAACCACCAAGAGACGTCGTGTTGCATTTAGCGACATAGGTAGTTTTTTTAGGTAATCTTTTTCTTCATTATGGTTCGAGTTATACAAATTTGTTTCTTTTCTTAAGGTTACGAAGATGTTGGAGTTGAAGCTAAAGAATGCGTCAGAATCTATCTTGGTATGATAAACATTTGAAGTTTTCATGTTTCTTTAGTGAATTTTTTTGGTGTCATTGTAAAAAAATGTTGATGCATTTGCCTTTATTTTTGTAATTGGAATGAATTTCATTGAGTTTGTTGTTGCTATTATTATTATATAGTTTCTAGCAAGGAAGAGTTCCAGGATCCAAAAAATTTTGTCATCAATCTGGTCGATTTGAATAACTATTTGGATAATTATGGGAAGATTTTTGGTTATGAGGGTTTGAAGGTTGGGTTCGTTTCTATGATAAATTGGAGAAAAAATTATATATTTATTTATGTTGTGTGATGATGTTAAATAGGATATGATGTTTTTAACTTCAGATTGTTTGGGCTTCTTTTACAGATTAACATCTGGATTAGCAAAATATTATTCTACTTGTATGCTGATGTTGTGTTTGAGAGTGTGTCTGATGTAAGTTCTGAATTTGTTTAGTCTTACAGTATCGATTAATTCATTTTTTGTGGTTTTAATTTATATCAATTATTAAATGTTACAGTTTTGTATTGTGGGCTCCCCAATGCAAATTCTTATCAGTATCCCCAGCGATCTTTGGTACTGCAGACTTCCAGCGCCGATATGTATTGACATCCCCAGTGATGAGCAATGGATCCCAACAATCTTCCGCTTATCCCCATGAAGCCTATGCCTTTGCATTGTATATAGTTATCATTACATAACATTGCATCTTTAAAAGCGCATAGTCGATCCATCAGAATGGATCTTTGCGGCAAAAGAAATTCAAACATGCATACGAAGCATAAGCCATATCAAGTACCTTACACAAAATATCTGAATCATTCAAGGACAACTATACGTCCCTACAAGAGGATATCATGCCCAAAATCCCCAGTCGATGACCTTCACTTTTCAATGCCCAGCAAAATCAGTACACTTTGTCATTCTATACCCAGTTTTCTTCTGGTAGCCAACTTCTGCCTGACAAATAATTCAGATTTCCAATATTCGTCTGTGTCAGTTCCCTATACACTCGTCGCGTCAACTCCTAAACACTCATCTGTGTCAGCCTCCCAAACACTCGTCCGTGTTCAAACTTTTGATACTCGTCTGTATCTTCTTTCAATACTCGTCCGTATTGATTCAAACACCCGTCCGTGTTTAACCTTTTGATACTCGCATGTATCTTATTTCAATACTCGTCTGTATTGATTCAAACACCCGTTCGTGTTTAACCTTTTGGTACTCGCTTGTATCTTCTTTCAATACTCGTTCGTATTGATTCAAACACTCGTCCGTGTTTAACCTTTTGATATTCGTCTGTATCTCCTTTCAATACTCGTCTGTATTGATTCAAACACTCGTCCGTGTTTAACCTTTTGATGCTCGCCTGTATCTTCTTTCAATACTCATCCGTATTGATTCAAACACTCATCCGTGTTTAACCTTTTGGTATTCGCCTGTATCTTCTTTCAATACTCGTCCGTATTGATTCAAACACTCGTCCGTGTTTAACCTTTTGATACTCGTCTGTATCTCCTTTCAATACTCGTCTGTATTGATTCAAACACTCGTACGTGTTTAACCTTTTGATGCTCGTTTGTATATCCTTTCAATACTCGTCCGTATTGATTCAAACACTCGTCCGTGTTTAACCTTTTGATACTCGCATGTATCTTCTTTCAATACTCGTCCGTATTGATTCAAACACTCGTACGTGTTTAACCTTTTGGTACTCGCCTGTATCTTCTTTAAATACTCGTCCGTATTGATTCAAACACTCGTCCGTGTTTAACCTTTTGATACTCCTCTGTATCTCCTTTCAATACTCGTCCGTATTGATTCAAACACTCGTCCGTGTTTAACCTTTTATACTCATTCGTATCTCCTTTCAATACTCGTCTGTATTGATTCAAGAACTCGTCCGTGTTTAACCTTTGATACTCGTCCGTATCTCCTTTCAATACTCGTCCGTATTGATTCAAACACTCGTCCGTGTTTAACCTTTGATACTCGTCTGTATCTCCTTTCAATACTCGTCCGTATCTCCTTTCAATACTCGTCCGTATTGATTCAAACACTCGTCCGTGTTTAACCTTTGACACTCGTCCGTATCTCCTTTCAATACTCGTCCGTATTGATTCAAACACTCGTTCGTGTTTAACCTTTGATACTCGTCTGTATCTCCTTTTAATACTCGTCCGTATTGATTCAAACACTCGTCCGTGTTTAACCTTTTGATACTCGTCCGTATCTTCTTTCAATACTCGTCTGTATTGTTTCAAGCACTCGTC